TGCTTGTGCGGCATGACACTTCTTCTTGCCCAGGAGTGCGCTGAGAGATGAAGCCCTGCTCCTCTTGCTGCGACCAATACTCTTCCAATTGCCGCGGCGTGCATTTCCCAGCCGAAACCCATTTTCCACGCTCCTGCGACGCAACGCCGCATAGGACCGCGTCAACCGACTTCAAGAGCACCTCGTACGGAAACTGACACGGCTGAGCCATGAGAACTCAGTAGCGACGATGCGCAACGACAGCCTGATCATCCAGCGGGCCCTCCTGAGCTTTCGACATATGAAGGTCACAGCGGCGCGCTTTGCGAGCGGGAGGGCACGAGCAGGGAACCGCCGTGTAAGCTTGTAAGGGCTCGCAGCGTCGCAATTCCGCCACTGGCCTGCCGCATACACGACCACTGAGTTTTAAGTTGCCATCAACCACGAGAGCTCTAAGGTCGTGCCCGCGCTCTTTTGCCATGGCCAGTCGCCGCTGAAGCATATGTTCGTCATACCACGGAGCCGTTAACAAAGTCTTTGCAAACGGCAGGCTCAAATTGACACAGCGCCCTTCTTGAGTCTCCTCCTCGTGCTGGTGCAGCCGCAGAACAAATCTCCAATAAAGCCAACTTTTGAACAGAAAGAGCCCTGGGTGCCTTGGAACACGGCCCTCAAAGCCTGCAGCCCTTGCCTCTGCTCCATGCACTTGCGCCTCGCCAGAGAACGCCACATATTGGTAGAACAAGCGGCGGGTCATCTGCTGAAGCCAGGACACAGACACTCCATGCCTGGCATCCAAGAAGAAAAACTGCAGCGAGCCAGCTGTCCAGTGAAAACGCCGCTCACTCTTGGAGATCGCGATGAAATTGTAGAAGATAGTCTTGCCGCAAAACTTGCACCCCTGTCTCCGACATCTCTTTGTCACATGTTTGACCGCGCGCCAGCCTTCAGGAAAAAGAACTGCAGCGTGAAGGCCTGCCAGTTTTCCACGAGATAGCGCTGCCCCGCACTCCGAGCAGTGCCGGGACGCTGGCTCAGCTGTGTGCATGCTGCCCTGCGCACAGATAAAGACGCATCGTGGCGCTTCGGCTTCTACGTCATTGAACAAGTAAGGACTGAAGCACCGAACAAAACACGCAACTTCGTCGGCTTGTGCTCTTGTGCCCAGCTGCTGAGTCAAATGGCCCCAGGCCGCTGGCTCAAGCATCAAACGAGAAAAGGGCTCCCAGGTTGTTCCAAGTCCCCCAAACACACAAATAAACTCAGACTTGGCAAATGCTAGAGAAGGACCAAAACAGGCTTTAAGGAAACATGAACATGTTTCTCGCATAAGATTTCGCATAAGATGTTGCGTTGTAATTGCGAGGGGCCCTTTCAGCAGTAGAGAAGAGATGGTGCAGCCATCCCTTGACAAGCCAGCCCTCTCACCCACGGGCTGCGCCGGCCTCCCAAGTGGCGAGCTGGGCCATGAGGTGGCGTAGAAGAGCGGCAGACCCACGCAGCGAAGTCCAACCGCCCCATACCCTAGGCCTACTTCAACAAGTTAACGCGTGGAGACACGGGCAGCATGGGCAGCACGGGCAGCACGGGCAGCACGGGCACGGGATCACGGGCCCACGGGCTTCACGGGCACCACGGGCTTCAGGGGCACCACGGGCACGGGCACCACGGGCACCACGGGCAGCACGGGCACGGGCACCACGGGCACCACGGGCAGCACGGGCACGGGCACCACGGGCACCACGGGCACGGGCTCACGGGCCCACGGGCTTCACGGGCACCACGGGCACCACGGGCACGGTCCCAGAACGTACCTGCCCCTAATTACCATTATACTAATACTATAATATTAATATAATAAACTAATATCTATACTTACAAATTCTTCACAATATAATATTAAATAACTTATGTTTTTGGGCAAATACATTAATATACATATATATACCTATCGATAATATTCTAATTTTTCAAACAATTAATTCTCAAATCCTAAAAATAATCAAATAACACTCTTATATATATATATATATATCTATCCCATATTCTCCTATAAACCGGTACGGCCTCGAAATCGCATTTCCCGTGCACCGGCAAGCCGTTACAACGATACTCCGGCCGAATCGTAATGCTTACGGCGACCGACTATGCTTGTCTCGGTCTTTTCTCCGCGACACAAGCTCCCGCCTCTTCGCGCGGCCCAAAAGCCCCGAAATTTCGAGGGATTCTTAATAACTTTGCTTAGAGTTCCCGCGACATAACCCAGCCAAATTTTCCCGAATTTTTGGCTGCTTCCGGCGACGCGGCTCTTAGGTTTCTGGACAAATTTCTTCAAGATTTAGTGGTTCTCCGAAAAATATACCGGGCCAAATTTCGGGAAAATTTGGGGGACTACCCGAATCGAAATTTCTCGAACATTTCGTGCTGGGTATCTCCGTATCTTTGTTTGTCTCTATGTCTCCCAATCTGTTTTCGTGTATCCGTATCTATCTATTTCGTAATCTCTGTCTTTCTCTATCTATCTTTGTGCATCTCTATGTATCCCAATCTATTTCTGTTTATCTATCTCTGTATCTCTCTGTCTGTCGGGTTATCTCGGTTTGTTTCGGTTTAATTCTGTTTATTTCTGTTTCTATGTATTCGCATCCATCGTTCGTCTCTATTTCTTTGTGTCTTTTTGTATCTCTCTATCTATTTCCATATATCCATATCTATGTATTTAGTAATGTTTATCTATCTCTATTTCTATTTTTATCTTTCTGTTTGTTTTCGTTTATTTCTACGGGTCGATTCACAAAAATATTTGTTGGCTACATACCACATCTCCCCCTTTCAACCTTCGGTTGCTTCCTTTCTTTTCATTTCTAATTATTTTTACCATTGTTCTTGCTTAATTACCTACCTACCTTTTTTCCTCTTTTTCTTGTTTTCCCTAATGCCGCATTCTCGCCCATAAGATAAGGGACAACTTGCCTAGGCTCTTTCTCTCTCTCTCTCTCTCTCTTTTTTCCTTTATTTCTCTCTTTCTTTCTTTCTCTCTCTCCTCTCTCTATCTCGTTCTCTCTTTCTCTTTCCTCTCTCTCTTTTTCTGTTTCTCCTTATTTTATTTTTTTTTAAATCTATATTAATTGTTTTTCTTTGTTTTTCTTATTGTTTCTTTCCCTTTCCCTTTTGGTTATTATTTTTTAATATTTTTCTTTTATCTCTATCTCTTTCTTATTCTGGTGTCTTTCTTTCTTCCTCTTTCATTTTTTAAATATTATCATTAATAAAATTAATGGATTCTCTCTAATATATATATATATATATACTAAATAAATACTCAAATTTTAAATACACATTATTAATATAATAATACTATTATATATATATATATACATGTTTTTTAAATATATTTTAATTCATTCCTTTATATATCGGGGTCTAGTGTTAGAGAATAAGATTAGACCCTCCCCATTTTCTGCAAAAAATAAGGAGTCTAACCCAATTTTTTATTAGGAAATGGCGAGCCAATCCCCATTTAGAAAAAGAGGAGAAGTCAACCTAGGTCCGACACAACATTAAACCAACCCCCAATAAAAGATAACAAAGAACCCTAATCCCGCCGTAAAAAAACAAAATAAAACAACAACATCGCAAAAGAAAATAAATTAACTTTTATTATTATCAACATCATTTCTGTAATAATACATAGTTTTCAGAGAAATACAACATAAATTTCTGTAAACAACCCTATAAAATCATTTAAAAAACCCTAAGATTATCAATTACCCATCCTCCTTATATCTAATCTTTTTATCAATTCTTTTCTACCCCCCTAAAAAACACCCAAATATTCTTTCTAATTTCTCTTACAACCAAATAACTATACGAATATATAGATTTTTAATAATAAAACCTTCCAACTTAATATATGTTTTAAAATAACAATCCATCATTTTTTTAATTTAAAAAAAATAAAAAAACCAACCTAATCAAACCAAATTTCTTTTATTCACCATTTTAAAAATAAAAACTACAAACCCCACCATAAAAATAATAATATCCTTAAACAAAACAAATCCAAAATAGGTTTTAATATAATCATATGTATATATATATATAATCCTTTCCAATAAAACTAGTTTTATTAATTATTTCATATCTAAATATTATATATTATATATTTTATGCAAACCAATTCAATTATATCTAAACAATATATTTAATATTTACGACACATTTAAACACAAATTAAGTTCCAAACAACCTCGAAACAATCCAAAATAGCAGACCCTATTTCCTGAAACTTGGATTACCCAATCATAAAGCCTCTATTTAGTTTCTTAAATTTGCCTGCCAATAACATTATTGTAATGGTTTAAACAGTCTCGCAATTGATGGTATCGACGGAATTGTAGATTTTTTGTTGTTGTTTTTGGCGGGTGAATGAATCGTCCGACTTGAACATGTGTTCCATATTCGCCTTTTTGTTTTCCGGTGAATACATTGTCCTCCACAACACAGCTCTGCGAGTTCGCAGGAGAATGCGAAGAGCGGTGATCATGTTGCTTCAGTGTGGGCCAGGACAACCTCCGCCTGCATGGACCTCATCAGCCCTGAGCCATTTTTGGAAGAACCTGCCTGCATTGCTGTCTTCGCAAAACTGATACACACTTGAAGGTTGAAATCCCAAACCGGGCCCAATCTCACCTCCCACTTTGGGATTCTCTGCAAACGAGGCACACACCGCATCCTGAAAAGCTAGCCGGCATCGTGGCAAGAGCCGTCTGGCTTGAAAGTGTTTGCAACATGAGCTCACATGCTGGTTACCCCAGTTTCTGTCGGAAAGTCTATGAGTCCCCCCCGCACAAATTGACCATGGACCGGAAATTGGGACCCAGCCCCCTTAAGTCTACCTGAGTCCATTCAAGAACGAGCCTTGGCAACCTCTCAGACTGCCCGCTTAAGATTGGTCAACTTGAGTTCGCCTCAAATGAGAGTACCCCAAAATGGCTGGTCTGTTGACTTGACCAACAAGACAGGTTCATTCATCTGTTGGGCTCATTCACGGGCCAAGCCTGGGTGATATGATGCCAACCAACTGGCTGTGCTGAGAAGCAATCGCTTCCCTAGGCCGGATAGAATCATCGCATGCCGACACGAGCATCCCAGCCGATCGGCCAAGTTCCGTGAAAGGTGCATCTTTGGACGCAACATCGCTTCTAGGCTGTCTTTGCGTCCAACGCATTTCGCGCGAAACCAAAGAAGGGCGCCTCCAAGGAACGGAAGTCGGTCTGCAATTCACGGTCGGGTGGTCGGCTCAGCAAGAGCCGGGCCTTGCGAGCAGAGCGGCTTGTTTCCTGAGTGGAACTCCTGGACTGGCCGGGGTTTCTTTGCTTCCAACGGCCATCTAAAAGGAGCCGGTCACACATAACCAGGTGTCAAAATGGAAACGGGCAAAACCAGGTGGTGTTTTCAGGAGTGTTGGTTTCACACTAGCTTCTGCATACCAATACTCCCTTCGAAAAATCGCCACGCCAAGCGGAACACGCAATGAAACTTGGCAACCAACAGGTCATGCTCACAATCGACTTGAAAGAGATTGTTCTAGCACCCGACCCACCATACTACTATGGCTTTGCTTCTCACCTGCTGTCGCCTGTCCCAAATCCAGAGCCAGTTAAATCTGATCTAAAGCTCTCATCGCAGCAGGGATGGTCATGCCATTGCTGCCATTGGAAACAACTTGCAATGCGTGGTACACCAGTAATGGCTGGTGCGCCACATGAAACACACATGCCTACAGCACATTCACGCGTTCAAGCTGGAGAGACATGTCGACGTAGCCAAACATAGATTGATCCTACTCTGAACTGAAAATGATAAGCCGGCAACCTAAACCCTACACTCTGCTGGAACATACAGTTATACTTTGCACTCACCAAAGACTGTCTGTCAAGGAGCCCCTCTCCCATTGATGCAACATGCTTGACAGGTTACGTATAAATTCCCTGAACTGGCTCAAGGTAAGGCTGTGTTACGCACAGCACCAGAATCTTCTGCAACGAAATCCAATTTGAGAACTGAACTGAAGGTATGCTCGGATTCACCCTGCGTACAAGCAACTAGTTGAGCAGACCTGATTCTGACCGCCACTTTGATGATTGGTCTTTATCATCGGCTGATATGTTTGCATCAGTTTTGAAGCTGCCATGATTTGCTGACCCAACGTTCAACAGCTAAGCATTGCTTACCAGGTCTGCTCTGTGCGTTGACGAAATGTCGGGCAGTGTGCTGAGTCACTGCATTCCCATCTGGCCACGGGTTGTTGAAATCGGCTCCACTTCCTCAAGTATCCCAGCTGCGCTGATTTCACAACATTGGTATCCTTCAACACTCACCCCGGTTCTCCCAGCCCTCGGTGTGCGCGCGCGTGCCTTGCCACGTGTAACCTCAGAGATGGAGCAAACACAAAGGGGACAGCTTAGAGGGTGGAACAAAGGGTGCCTGCAAGTCTCAAACTTGCACTGTGCTAGGTCTATATAAACCTTATTGTTGCATGACTCAGCCTACCAGTAGCGGTTGTTGTTCCTTCTAAACTTGTTTCTTGGGGGCCTGACTTAAGAGGGGGACCACGTGTCACTTTGGCGTAGCCCCCCTCCCCCTACCTGACTAGACAAACGCTGCTGTCCTTGCCAAACACTGGCTCACTGCAAACGTACTCCTGCCCGTCAGCTGTATGTGTGCATGATTGTGCCGGGTCTGTTATGCAACGGGCTGCTAAGAAAGCAGACAACAGAATCGATGCTTTCAGGCCTGCGGCGTTGCACGCAATAACTTCGCAAATGTGGTAGGACATGGGGAAGGCGGGGTGACCGGTCCATAGCATCAATCGTCTTCCTCGACGAGGGTTGAGGGCCAAGCACCTGGCCCAACGCAAAACTAGGATCATGTTTGTTCAGCTTCCCCCTGAAACTTTGTCAGAAACTCGGGCGACCCAAGAGCACCAACGCAACACAGTGAGTTTGTTGGCTTGACCCTCCGAAAGTCAGGACTGCGTGAAGAAGCAACGCGCAAACAAGTGTTTTCAGATTTGAGGCCTGAAGTCGCAAAGGCAACAGCCACAAGCCGTCCTTGAGTAGTAAAATTCGAATAATCCAAGTCAGCAACATGAAGCAAGCGAAACAACCACACCACCAAATAGCCGGTTTTGTGGCAACACGTGCGCTGAATTGCAGGGCTCCTGGTTCCCCTGCTGGCTCCGGATACTGGGCCCTGCGCCTCCGCCGCAACCCGGCGAGGCACCTCCGGGTGCATGCGGCGTCCAGGACCTCGCAAGATGGCGAACCACCCTCTGAATGGACGGCAAATGAATCAATGAACGCAACTCGTGCCATTGCAACACTTAAAGTGGCTCGTTCATCTATTAAGGCTAGATAATTATTGCAACTGTTCAGGTGGTTCCATTTTGAATGAGAATCAACTTCTGGTTTCTTTTCCAACACTAGCCAAAGAAGGGGCCCAACCAATGTTTTGCCTGAACCCACGTCTGAGCAAATTACTGTAATCTCCAAACCTGCAAATAAGGAACCCCCCATTGAAGCCTGCATGAGTGAGCTTGTTTTACCACACATCAGTGGGTGGCATTCCAAGCTAACTTTGCAAACACCACCGATAAAAGGCATCCTTTTGGACCCCTGGTGGGTTTCATGCAGAAACAAGCCCAGAGAGCAAAAACACATTCCCATTGCAGACTACAGCAGGAGGTATCTAGAACACGTACAGCCTGCAGGCAGCAGGTAGCACAACGCCGGCAAGACCATGCACACAAAGAAGCAACTCACAAACATTGTTCGCACTAAATCAGACTGCTAACAGCTCACAATGCTCCAAAGATGAACCATCTCCCCAAAAGGGGATGCCACAATTGGGTATATGTCAGAATAGGGGACCTTCAAAAGGGTGGTTTTCCATTGGCTTCCCTTGCAAACCACCCCAAAATGAGTTGCCTCAAGACAACACTTGAATCCCCTCAGAGGTGGAATGATTCAAATCGGCTGAGAAAACTTGGCTCACGGGGTGCAAGCGCACGATTGGCTTTTGGAGTGGCCAGCAACTACTCGCTCTGCTTGCGTGGATGCCGCTGCCCAGGGATTCACGCCTGAAGTCGTGCCGCATCGGCATGTACGGTGCGACCTGAGTCAAGTCGGCAAAAAAAACTGGACCAAAATGCATACGCGTGGTTTACGGTCTACTATATAACTATTCATGTACATGTATCTCTCTCTCTCTCTCTCTCCCTCTCTCTCTCTCTCTCTCTCTCTCTCTCTCTTCAAAAGCGCACCTTTTGGATTGGCGAGAGCTTGACTTCTGGAAACTGGGGACAAGCGTTCTGCTTGCGGAAAGTTTTGAGAACTTGTTCCTCGTCTTCAGAAAAAACGGACACATCACTTGCCTTCGTGAGAGACGGAAACATCCCTGCTTCGTGCTATTTGGCTGAAGCCTGATGTATCACAGCACAACCCTGACGCCTAGTGGGCCCAGTGAAGAAACATTGTCTTCTGCTTGCTGTTTTATGGCTTTGGCACACACACGCACACACGCACACACGCACTCACCACCATTGATCTGCCTGATCTGCGTACAACACAACCTGGACTATTCCTGTATTGGAGTAGATTCAGGAAAAAAAATAAACCTTTTAAGGCCCCCAACCCCCACCCCCCGAAAGCATGAATTGCAGCCCCCCCCAATTAAAAATCTGAATGGTGCCTTCAGCGTCATTTCAGTTGCTCGAATCAGGGTTGGTGGCTGAAACGGATGACTCGCCAAGCTGCCCGCTTCGCCAAGTTGACGGTATCAGCGGCATCAGGGTATCAGCGGCATCAGGGATCCCGATACTTCCCTGATATGAGTGTGTTTTTCAAGTGTTGGCTCAATGGACATCGAACGGGAGCCACCCAGTTCATAAGATATCTCCTGCTCGCAAACAAAGCCATATTTACCTGCGCGAGTTGGAACAACTCAAAGCACTCTGGGACATCATGTTGTTCTGCTATCCCCACCTCTCAAAGCAAAAACCATTTCTAGCACCAGCGCAAACACATGCAACAACCCGCTGCAGGCTCAGAAAACCACAGCATAAATCGACAACGGCATGGCCTCAGAGTGAACACCATATCAAGAAGCCAGAATGTAGGTCTATTTTTTCAAGGGTACCCTTTGCAACTTGGCTTATACATCAGAAGAACAAACGTTTATGCCTCTTGATGGTTTCTGCAAAGCCGTGTGGATCACCCGCGGATCGAATTTCCAACTCTTTTTTATGTGGCAGGAGTGGGACGGTCAATTATCACCCTCTTTTAAATTTAAAATACTTTAAAGGCTTTGGAGTGTGACAATTCGACCGCGAATGACCCAGCAACAACTTGCAGGATTCTAGGGGGAAAGGGTTGCTTTTCCTGAGAAGGCCCAAGAGGCACAACTTTTGTCCTGGCGGTGTATAAGGAGACACCAAAATAAGAATCACCATTTTTGGCATCCCCTATTTTGACACTGACCTCTGTCTCCCTCGCATTTAAGCCGCAACTCTGCAAAACCGCTGCGTTCCAACAAAGGTTGGCACTGCGATCAACAAAGGCTGGCACTGCGATCTGTTGACCGTTACGTTACAATGTTAAAAGCATGCCCAGGGAGTTGACTCCCCAAAAAGTGTTGTCTCAAAATGAGGAACGCCCTAACCGGAGCTTTCTTTGGCCTTCACCAAGAAACCAACCCCTAACAAGGGACACCTGCAGTACATCCTCGGTTTCCTTCAAACAACAAGCAACAAAGACCCCTGCAGAAACACCTCGGTGTATTTCTGTGCGGCCGCGCGGGTACGCTTTGCGCTCCAGGCACCGGTGCGCTTGGGGGAAGCATTCTCACCCGGACACCTTGAGAAAGTCAAGCCCAAGGATCCCCAGGCGCACAGCAAATGGGGACCAGGCGTTTTGTTTGCTACCCTTTTTGCCGCGTCCAAGGAGCACCAGGACCCATTTCGGGGGTCTTTCTGGAGACACACCAGCATGGTGTCATTACTTTTACAAAATGGTGGGTGCTACCCTATTGTTGAGATAACACTATATCCCCTTGTGTTCCTGCCGGAGGTGGGGTGTGAGGAACGTTAAGGCAAACTCTATGCCTTTATCCTTTTGCCCCAGTCGTCTCCAACAATTGATGTGCGTCAACAGAGCGAGCGGACACGGACGAAGAACACAGGGGCGCAATTGCTGAAGCGGGCTTCCTTGCACAAGCTCTTCGATTCTGTTGACAGATGCTCAATACAAAAAGATGGGCAACCCTGTTTGCAAAAAGTCACAAGGCATCCCCCCCTCGCATTTCTCGTGAATAGGAGTCCAACACCGGAGACTGGACAGAAATAAGTGCAGGGAAAAACAAACATGGCGCGGATCGATGCCATGCGCCTTGTGGCACCGAGACCGAGAATGCGGGATGCGCACCGCTCCTGCGAACACTGGCGCCTTCCACAGGCCAAATATGGACATGACCCAGGAGACAACCCGGAAAGATACTTGCTCTTAAAAGGCTTCCGTTTTGCTTGGTATTCAAAAGGAAAACCAAAGGACGCCGCCCATATTTTGCCGGTCTTTCATCCGGACGCTCAGGTGCCGCCCCGCCCTTCCCCAAAAGGAAAGTCGTATTCCAAAACCCTCCTGTCAGCTTCCATGATTGGGGGGTATATGCGCCGAGCATGTGTTGCTTAAGGCCATGATACGCAAATCCACAGCTTGTCCCTGATTACAGTGCATAAGGGCACCAGGGTTGAGTCTGCGAAATAAAGATCAATGTGCCTGGATACGCGATATCCTTCTCCAACCAGCAGAATCTAAACCTCTGAGGACAATGCCCCCCTCACGTAGAAGCATTGATCCGTGCTGTAGGAAATTGTACCACAGTCGCAGCATGCAACAAGTATCCTGAATGCTGCTAGCAAGCCTAACAAAAGCTATAAAACTTCATGATGGGAATATCTTTGTCCTGCACTTGCAATGGAACAAATAATTATCCACTGCATTTCTCAGCTACACTGGCCATGTTCCCCCAATCGCGACTCTCTCTCTCTCTCTCTCTCGCGCGGACGAAGCCTTTTTTCGACAACACGGTGCCTCGGGCAAGCAATGCACAAGCAACCCGGGCTCAGAGATCGAAACTGGAAGTCGGCAAGGCGAAACCAGGCCACTCGCCACTTCCAAAGACCTGGACACAGGACCATGACAAAATCAGCATTTAGGAAAGCGCATTCACTGATTCCTTTTGACAGCTCACCCCTGGAACAACGAAACCAGCATCTGTGAAGCACGTTCAAGAAAAAACTGGGACAACAGCCTGCGTGGGATGGCTGTTTCCTCACGCTGCCCGGGCTGGAGCCGCATCTCGCGAGCTCCCCCGCCGGAAGCTTTTGCAGGAACCCAAGAACAACCGGATCGTGGCCAAGCTACCCTAAAACCAGGCTCGCACGGATCGCGCCCCCGCAGCAAGACCGCCTATCAGATGGAGAGCGTTCAGAAATACTACCTTTTGGCCCTTGTGGCCCCTTTGATCCTTTGATCCTCTCCTTTGGCCCGTCCCGGGTCCCTAGACCCCATCGGTCTGCCGCGCCTTCCGGCCTGTCACTCACGCCGCCGTGTTGAGCGCCTCTGCCACGTATCTCCGCAGGGTGGGGTCCACCACCGCGCGGAAGTCCCGCTCCGACTTGGTGGCCTCCGCGCCGAAGTGGCCCTCCACGTAGCCCGTGAAGATGCCCCGCGTCTCGAACTCGTAGTAGAGCACGTACCGGTCCTGAACACTCTCCCGCGTCCAGATGAATCCGGAAATCTGGACACTAGGGCAAAAAATCTAGTCCTTCAACTACTGGTGGCCTTTCTCCTTGACACGGTTGCATTCGGTTTGAGCGCTTCTTCCGTTCAACTAGCCGTCTGTTTCCCAAGCCATGAGATTCACCGACATGTCCTCAGTCCCTTGGTGCTCCACTGCGCGATGATCCACGAAGGAGTCGTACAACATGATGGAGCCGTGGGGAATGTTGGTCACTACCTCTGCAAGACGCTTGATTCTCCCATATGTCGCAAGGCCCCAAAAGAGAAGTGAACCACCGGTATTTTGCCATTGTGGGTTTAAGTTCACTTGCACTTGCGCGATTCTCCAAAGCTCTCATTGCCGTGCTTGAAGAGCTGCGGCAATTTTGCTTCTGGACTTCTAATCCTTGCCGCTCTGCCCGCTCTGCCCTGAAAAGCTGTTGTTCCCGGGCACGTTATGCCTGAACCGCTCCTCCTAACATCTGTTGATAAAGGTCAAATCTCGGAGAACTGAACAGTAGATTCCAAAGCAGCTATACTTTGATCCTCCCTGCCTGCTTGTAAGCGTGCTGTTCCTTCTTTCGAAACACATGTGACAAGGCAGTGCCCAAACTTTCTCTACATGACACGCATTTGAGTAGTGCATCGAACTCCACCATGCAAGTGTTCAGAGGAAGCACTCATCGGAACTGCATAGCACAAGCCCTCCCTCAAGGAAGACGGAGTAGTTAAATACTACGACTACATACGCAAACCTCATCAACATTTGCCGAACTTAGCTTTGCATGTTCATCACGTATTATATAAACACACTATGATACTGAAACATACTTTTCTGAGACAGGATGGCACAGCTAGCAGGATTGTTATGTACGCAAGGCGGCAAGGAACGGGACAATCCATCGGTGGGGCACAAATTACAGGGTTTCGCATGTCCCCCATCAGGCATCACCCCAAGGAACCCTACCCAAATGCTTCAACATGGTGCCAAACAACGCTTCAAAACAAGAACTGGGGGCAGCCAAACAGCACACAGCACATGCCGTGCGAGCTACACAATCGTGCATGCAGAGTAAGTATCCCGAGGGTACATGCAGAGCAAGATGCGCAAGAGGACATGCGCTGAGTCTTCGGAAGTTGTCATGGCTTGCGCGGCTGCTCTTGGGTCCGCCGGTGAGTTCTCCAGTCAAAAGCGCAACTTTTCAGTACATAAGTAGTCCGCGAAGTGCGCTCCCGCAAATCTAGCTCGAAAATGTCCAGCAAGGCTTTTGACCAGACATCTTGCAGCCCCTCTGAAGCAGGAGCTCCGGCATTCGCTAGGTCGCCCATTGTGGATCCAAACAATCCTCCCAATGGGTTCTTTTTGGCTTCATCGCACACTGCACCGCTAAACTCACTTCGCCCCTTTGTATGCGGACCCGATGCCGCAGCAGGCTTCTTCATGTGTTTCACCTTATTTGGCTTCGCCTTTTTTATCGCAGCCTTTGCAGCCTTCTTTGGCGACATGGCTGGAATACAAGCGTTTTCACGAAACAAAGCCAACCCAAAATGACCAGTGCTACATGTGGGAGAGTTCATGCTGCACGTGATGTGATAATTGATGACCTGCTCCTAAACGTCAATCGTTGCGTTGGTTGGGCTCGGCTTTGCTGTGGCAATTTGTTTTTGTGTTTTTCCTTGGGTGTTTTTGATGGATTTGTTGGCTGCAGGGTGCATCATACCGCGGATGGGCAAGGCGCCCATGACTTTTATAATGATTTATAAAACAAACTTGTGAAGCTGCAAGACTGCGATAGTCCACATACACAGATGCCTTGACGCAGCGTGCGCGAGCATGTCGTGCGCCAAAACGTGAACGCATTTGACAGCACATGCCACGCTCACCATGTGTTTGCTTTCGGGCAACCCGTGGCTCCAATTTTGTTAGGCGGGCACTGTTTGATAGAAAAGAATCGGATTACAAATGAAGCTTGAAGGGACCAAGGCCTGCAAGCAAGGTTCTCACGCTCTCATAGTCTCCCCTGTTGGCTTTGACCCTTGATTCCATCTCATGGTCATTGAGTATTCGCCTTTCTACGAGAACCAACCCACGTTGAGCTTCAGAGATGCTCTTCTTGTGAGAACCCCTTGGTTTGACCATTGATTGCCTCACTCGGCTCTTTCTGTGACCAACCCACGAGCTTGGGAGCTTCCCCGCCTCGAAGCCGGGGCTCTTCATGAGGTGGCTCTCCGGGCGCAAGGCCAGCGGCCCATTGCTGGCCTCCAGGGGCGTCAGCGGCACGCCGATGGTGAGCTGCGCGAAGGGCCCCGGCAGAATGATGTCGCGGTGCCGCGTCATCAACGGCGACTGGGGCGGCGTCCTCGTTCAAACCGGGGCCCAAGGGAGAACCCAAGGGACCGAAGGGGACCGAAGGTGACTGGCGGGTTCAATAGAATTCCGATTCAGACAGGGTCTGCGCACATGTACTGCGCTCCCCATGTTTGGCAAATGCGAACTGGCCTTGAAGCTTGTTTGATCAACTCCAAGATCCGCGTGGCAATGTTGGCAAGGCGAGGTCATCTAAAACAAAACAATATGGTGTACGCATGATGTTTCTCCACTCTTGGTCGACACATGGCCACCGTTCACGGTCAGAGGTTTTTCAGGTGAGGTCATGATGTCAATCAAAATCCTTCTCATGAGGGTCGCGCAATGTCGTGCAACTGTCGCAAAAAAAAGCTCGCACGTGCCTCGATGCCTCAAATGAGGAATCACAACTCTCTCCTCCCCCATGTGACCTTCAAACTGTACTTCAACATAAGGGAGTTGCTCAAAATGGTATATATTCAATGGGAAACCAAAGGGAAACCAGTCATTCGGGGACCCCTATTTTGAGAAGCCCCCAGAACACTAAGCACCCGCTTTGCTGAAACTGTTGAAAGCTTGAACAGCAACAGCACACACCCGGGCAAACGTTGTTTCTTAGAGTTTCGCTTTGCTGGAAACGCCCCCAAAAACCGGTATGATTGAAACCAAATCAACCTGAAAGGCAACATTTGGAGGGGTCTGGCAACAAACCATTGATGCGGTGTGCATTTCTTGGCAGTGTGCCAAAGGTTTGGAAATTGCTTGAACAAACAACCAGCATGCAACCACAAGTCTGAATACTGGTTTCACCCGGATTTTCTCGCAAATCCCACCGAACCAGCACCTTCTAAACGCCCCCGCTATATATAGCGGCCACCCCCCCCGTCCTGGTCACCATGACCCGGCCCAGCCAGGCGCCCAGATCTCGCGGGTGGCCCACCGAGGTGCAGCCGTGGGGCGGCTCCTCCGCCAAGGGCCCCCCCTGCGGCCCCACCTGGCGGAACCAGTCCCGCTCCGAGCCCTGCATGATCCACTGGCACCTCACAAAAAAAAGGCGAAAAAGAGCAATGAGGGAGGTCTTGGTTTCGAAGTCTGGTCTAGGGTAAAGAAGGAGGAGAAGGGGACTCGGGGTCAGGAGCCTCTCGAAGCAAGTCTGAGAAGGCAAGTGCGCCCGAAAGAAGCCAATGTTGTGTTCCTCTTAAACAATGAATTCATAGCCGGGTTTGAGTCTGAAGCGTGCCCGTGGGGGCCCACTGCAGTGGGTTTCCCACATGTGCTGCGAAACAACAAGCTAGAAACAAG